TTGAGCTATAGGTGCCGAGCCCGTTCAGGTGGTTTTTAATACAACATACAAGTTACTCTGAAGTCCTTTAATAGGCTCAACACCCGTAGCATAGTAGTTATAGTGCTTGCCATATACACCAAGGTTGGTGGGTTCAAACCTGGCCCAGGTCTGCCAAATAGCAATGACAACTACAGCCAAAAAGTAGCTGACATTGTGGTGGATGCCAAGTAGTCCCAGCCACTTGGGAGGCTGAGGCAAGAGAATCATTTAAGCCCAAGAGTTTGAGCTTGCTGTGAGCTGTGACACTATAGCACTCTACTGAGGGTGACATAATGAGACTCTACATCTCAAAAAGAAAGTCCTTCATTGAATGTATATAGTATTTTCTTTGCAAAGTCTTTAGAAAACAGTAATTTTATTTATTCTGTTCCTCAGGGCCAAGCTGTCACTCTTCTTCCCTTCTTCACCGGCCTCACCGGGGGCAGCCTGGAGGACCTACACCATGTTCTTGAAAAGCTCATCGTTTCTAGCTTCCCTCTGAAGTCTCATGAATTCCCACCAGGGACTTTGCAGTACAATAATTATGCAGACTGCATGAATAAGGTTGGTTTAGTCGTATCAAGTAAAACACTGAATTTTGAGGGGCAGAGGGTTACATTTCTTGATGAAAAGAAGTGAATGAATTATCCAGAATCAGAAAAGTGGTCTAACTTTAAGAATTCAGTTCAAGTTGTTTGGAGAGCTGACTGTGGAGGCAGGAGCATATCTCAAGCTCTTGGAATTAATTTTTCCTTCATTTTTTATTATTTATTTATTTATTTTAAGACAGAGTCTCACTCTGTGTCCCTGTTAGAGTGCTGTGGTGTCAAGGCTCACAGCAACCTCAAACTCCTGGGCTCAAGTGATCCTCTTGCCTTAGCCTCCCAAGTAGTGGACCACAGGTGCCTGACACAACTCCCAGCTGGTTTTAGAGATAAGGCCTTGCTCTTAGGCTGGTCTTGAACTCCTGAGTTCAGGTGATCCACTTGCCGTAGCCTCCCAGAATGCTAGGATTATAGGCATGAGCCACTGCTCCTGGCCTCCCCCATTTTTAAATGGTAAAATATCTTATGCATAAAATGGAATATATAATGTGTATAAAGTTATGAATAATAATTCCAAAAGAAGCTGAGAGAATATTGCCAGTATGTTGTAGTTTCTAAAATTTAATTGAGTAGGACTATTTGAGAAGCACTTAGTAAATATCAGTGATGCTACAGGTCAGGTATCCCTTATCTGAAATCCTTAGAACCAGAAGTTTCAGATTTCAGATTTTTTTTTTTAATTTTGAAATACTTACATATATATAATGAGATAATGTAGGAGCCCAACTAATTAACTCAAGTCACAAGTCAGACTACCTCCTTTTGTTGTTTATTCAGAACAACAGACCGCCTCATACCAAGGAGCTTATCATACCTAGGTGTTACAGCCCACATCCTGACCCCCTCCCCTTTGTTCCACTGGCCCCCTTGTGCACTCAGCCCACATCCTGACCCCCTCCCCTTTTAACACTTGCCACTCTACTCTGCACTTGCCCCACTTGTGACCCCCTCCCCTACTTGCCACTCTACTCTGTACTTGCCCCACTTGCGACCCCTCCCCTTTTTGCACTCGCCACTCTACTCTGCACTCGTCCAACTTGTGACCCCCTCTCCTTTTTGCACTCACCACTGTACTCTGCATTCGCCCCACTTGCGACCCCCTCTCCTTTTTGCACTCGTCACTCTACTCTGCACACACTCCACTTGTGACCTTTATCCCTTCCTTCTCATTTGCTCACCTGAGACAAGGAAGACTCGTCCCTGAGCCAATCAACCCTGAACACGACCACCCTGTACCTGTCAGTTTAGGACAGACATGGTTTCCCTACCAATAAGGGGACGGGGTGGGATGAACTAATGGGAGGAAAGGGGGAGGGATATAAAGGGACTTTCTGGATAGTCCGTAAGGGCTGTTCCCGCTTTTTCTTAAAGGGCAGCCCAGGCTCTGAGCTTGAATGAATAAAACTCCTCGTGCCTTTGCAGCGATGTTCAGACTCTCAGAGTGGTGCTTGAATTGAGTCTAGGGTTAACAATATCTCGGAGATGGGACTTAAATCTAACAGGAAACTTATTTATGTTTCATATGTACCTCATACACATAGAAGATAACTTTATGCAATATTTCTAACAAGTTTGTGCTTGAAATGATGTTTGTTTACCTTGAACCATTAGAAAACAAAAGGTGTTGGAGCTGCTGGTTCTGGAGGAGGGAGCGCAGTGGCCCAGGCATGCTTCACTGCGTGCCCCACCCCTCAGAGGCCCACCTCTCGCGTGCCACCCTCTGCAGGCAGTGCCCCTCCCCAGCCTCCTCCACCACAGCCCTCCTCCGTGCTGGAGGGAAAGGGACACAGGGGCAGCCACTGCATATTATTGTAGATGATGATGACAGTAAGAGATGGTTGCTGTATGATACGGGCCCCAGAAGCATCAGGTGTCCCCTCATATCCCCCTCCACTCCCCCTCCCCTGTCAGTGGAACTACAGATGTATTTTTCCGGCAGATTTTGGCTTTGACTGGATGGGGGTTACCTTGTTATAGCTTTGCAGTATCCAGTTTACTGGTACCATCTTGAATTCTGTGATGGATTCAGAAAACTTTTAGATCATTTACAATTGGATAAAGTTCATCTTTTTGGGGCTTCTTTGGGAGGCTTTTTGGCCCCCAAATTTGCTGAATGCACTCATAAATCTCCTAGAGTTCATTCCCTCATCCTTTGCAATTTCTTCAGTGATACCTCTATCTTTAACCAAACTTGGACTGCAAACAGCTTTTGGCTAATGCCAGGATTTATGCTCCTAAAAATAGTTCTTGGAAATTTCTCATCTGGCCCAGTGGACCCTGTGATGGCTGATGCCATTGATTTCGTGGTGGATAGGTTGGAAAGTTTGGGTCAGAGTGAACTGGCTTCGAGACTTACCCTGAATTGTCAAAATTCTTATGTGGAACCTCATAAAATTCGGGACATCCCTCTAACCATTACGGATGTGTTTGACCAGAGTACATGTCAACTGAAGCTGAAGAAGAAATGTACAAGCTGTTATCTCAATGCCCAAAGAGCTCACCTTAAAACAGGAGGCAATTTCCTATACCTGTGCAGAAGTGAATCTTTATGTCCAGATACATTTGCTACAATTACAGGGAACCAAATACGTAGCTATTGACCCATCGATGATCAGTGCTGAGGAGCTTGAGGTGCATAAAGGCAACCTCAGCATCAGCCAGGAGGAGCAGTAGTGGTTTTTGCTGTCCATAATGAGTTGATCCCAGCGTATTCTTGTATAAGCAGTGATGTCAGTGCCCGCCAGTGGCCTCTGCCTTCAGATTCATCAGGCTCACCGGTTCTCACTGTGTTTTGGAAGCAGGACTTATGGTCATCTTCATGACAGGCGACAGCCCCTGTAAGCCAATATGACTGTTCTTTCATTTTTTTTAGCTTTTGGATTTGAAGAAGTACTTTTGAAGATTCCCATTTTAAGAACTGTGCAACTTTTGCTACCAAAAGTCTTCACCACTGTGTTCTTAATAGAACATTAATTTCTGAGGTTTGGGATTTTGTGGTGATTTTTTTTCCCTCTTTTCTTTCCTTTTTTCTTTTCTTCCTTCTTTCTTTTTATGTCATTTGCTGTAAATGCTGCATATCCAGATTGCACATCAGGAGGGCATTGGTTATTTTCATGCTTTCTTGGGCATAACTATTATCAGAATGCCACGGCTAGCACCCCACTGTTTGCTCTCCCATAAATCAACTACTTTTAATTTCCAGTTAAGCAGATTGTTTTGAGTGTTAGTGCTTGTCTAGTTTCTAGATACTACAGTTATTTGGAACGAAAATTCAATTTCAAAAAAAAAAAGAAAAGAAAGGTATTAGGTGTGGGATTTTCCACATGTGATATCATGTTAGGAGTCAGAGAATTTTGGATTTTGAAGTATTTTGAATTTTGGATTTTTGGATTGGGGAGGCTAAACTCGTATTTAGTATACAGCAGGGTCTCTGCTAGTGGCTTAAACAAGATCGATTTTTTTCTGGCTTTTGTATGATCCTAGTTTCATAACCCAGGGCAGCCCCGCAGTCAACAGGAACCCATTCTCCTTTTATCCTTTTATTCACACAGCTTCTGTCTCATCCAGTGTGGCTGCCCCCACTCCTGCCATCTAGTTCCCTTCCAGCCAACAGGTGGAAGGAGAGGGTGCCAGAGAGCACATCCCTTCTGGAGCTCATTGCGGGACATGCACAGGTGTCTCTGCTGATATCTCCATCACTATGTCGTTATGGGCAAGACTGTAAATGTCATTTCCTTTCTGGGCGACTGTGTGCTCAACTAATATTCAGCAATTTGACCACTAAAAAAATAAAGAGAATCACACTGGGGGGATAGGCAATGATCTGCCATACTTAGGCTAATATCCTGGTACCGCAAAACAGGATGTTGTGTTTGTTTTTAAGGCCACATACACACAGAGCAAGGAAGAAACATAATGACACAGGTGGTGGAAACACACTGTGATAACACTGGGCCGGGGACAGCATGTGGGGTATATGGCAGCGTCTGCTTTATAGCTGACCACCCAGCACAGCCTGTCCCCCAGGCTCCTGCAGCCTGACACTGTCCCTCCTTGGGACAGGCAGTAACTTTCTTCTCTTGAGTGTAGGTTAGACTGAGAGATGCTTTTTTAGGAAGAGAGTACAGGGAAAGTGCTCCTGTTGTGTCATGCTAGGACGAGCCATCAGAGGCATAACAGCGTCGTACCACTCTCTCCACGGGATCGTATCCATCCTCATCCTGCAAGGGAGCCAAACAACACCCATTTACACAGATTCTCTCTGCCTCAGCTGCTTTATATAATTTTTTCCAAACACAGTAGAGTTGGAAGAATGATAAACTAAACATCCACATAACCGTCTCCTATATTTGGCATTCGCTAGCTTCTGTCAGGTTTCCTTTATCTGTTGTATATTGTTTGATTTGGCTGAAACGTTTGTAGGTTAGTTGTAGACATGATGTTTCATCCCTAAATAGTTCAGCAATATGTGTCTTGAGGAAAGGGACAGTACTGTTAGCCACACTGAGAGTACTAACCACCCTCTTGTGTCACATAGTATCTAGTCCGTGTTCATGTTCCTCCACATGCCCCATGTGTTTTTTTTAAAAACCATCTAATCAGCAATTGTGCTTAGTGACCACGTTATGAGTCTCTTTTTATCTCGAGCTAGTTCACACACACTAACCCTTTTATTTTTCCCTGACATCCAGTTTTTGGAAAAAACCAGAGACCTTCTCTTGGATGTTATCCTCTGATAGTCTGATTGTTTTCTTGAGGTTGTCCTGTTTTCCTCTAAACAGGAAGTGGGTCTTGGCTTTGAATGAACCTTGCAGCCAGCAGTGGCACCACAGGGACAGATGGCATGAGGCACTTCCTTACAGTGATCCCGAGTCTGGAAGACTGGGTGGGAAAGACGTGTCCCTGGGATAAAAGGGCAGAGTGAAGGAAGAGGACTTTCAGAAACTGAGGATGAAGGGAAGAACATTTATAAAACCTAAAAAGAATCAAAACTTAAGTATTTAATGGACATTATCATATGCCAGGCATTTACTATATCTGTAAAGATGACAAAAACATTAGCTTTTGTTAATTTTCTGTGAAATTGTTATGTTTTTCTTTATATATTTTTTTATTAGAACTATTAAAAAGAAAGGAATAAAACCTAACAAAACGTTGATAACGATGATATATCTTTTCTAGTTTCTGGATGCACTGGAATTATCTCAAAGTCCTATATTGTTGCAGTTGATGACAGAAATTCTTTGTCGAGAACAGGAACATGTTATGGAAGAATTGTTTCAGTCTACTTTCAAGAGGATTGCCGGAAGGTAGGTCATTCTAGTCGGGGGGTCACAGGAACCGTACACATTTTAGTTCTGTGGAAAAGAACTGTTGCAGAAAAGTTGAGTGGCAGTTGCATTCAACCCTTACCACTAAATTTTATTTCGATTTTTCCCTTTAAAACAAAGAAAAGTTTTATTGTGATGTTTTCAAGTATACTCAAAGCTAAAGGAAGAATATGAATGAGGCTCCAGGTTGACCAGGCATCAGCATTTTCCCAGCTTTATCCTTGCCTTTTATCTTTTTCTCTTTTTTGCTGCTGTTAACTTAATTTAAAAGAAACCTATTGACACCATGTTGTTTTATCTCTTAATCCTTCTGTATAATCTCTAAAATATCTGGGTTTTTTGAAAGCGACAGTTAGTTCCATCATCAACTGAACAACATTATCAGTAATTCCATATTCAAATCTCCTGAATCTGTGATCTCAAGTGCTCTTTACTTAATGGATTATTTCAATTTTGGTCCAAACATGGCATTTCACTGTCCTGTGTCTTAAGTCTGTCTCCATGTAGAATAGTCCGCCTCCTTAAGTTTTCTTCTGTTGTTGAAGTGACCTGGACACTTGTGCTGTCCAGTGTCTCACCTTCTGGATTCATCCTCTTCCATCCTTTTTTTTGCCATTTAACTTGTTCTTCCAGCCCCTGTGTTTCCTGTGAATGGAAAGTTCCTTTAGATTCAGGCTCAGACTTCAGCAGGACTGCTCAGGAGTTACACTTGATGTTCATGGTATTAGGTGCCATGGCATCGGTGGTCCTGCCATTAGTGGTGCTGGGGCCACCCGGCCCTGCTCCTCAGCACCTGTGTAAGAGTTGACCCTGAGTTATGAAGAATTATAAACAGTTTTCTGTTTTTGTTTTTTTTCCTTTCTGAATTTAGTAGCTGGAATTACACTGTGACGAAGAACTTGCCCTCATAAGTAGGACTCTTTGGTTTCTAAAATACAATTTAGTATTATACTAAAAATACAGTGGGAAAAATAGGACATATTTGATAATTGATTTTTGAATTAAGGGCTTTATACCCTGGCTGCTTCTAATTGGAAATTTCAAATGATTTTTTTTCTAATGAATTTTTAATTAGTATTTATGTTGAATTTGCAGGTATCCATGTACATTTCTTTTTTTGAGTTACATTTTATAGATCATAAAATTTACTCATTTTAATATATAATTCACTGATTTTTAGGAACTTTACAAAGTGGTGCAGTGAGTACTATAGAACATTTTTATCCCCAAATGAGGTCCTACTTGGCCATTTACTGGTCCACTGTCTGTCTTTGTAAACATGCATTTTCTGGACATCTTGTGTGAATGATGTTGCAGTGCTCCTGCTGCCCTGCCCAGTGTAGTGTCTTTGCAGTCCGCCCTATCTGCTGAGGTGCATAGTGGAGTCTGCTCCCACCTCTGCCTCTTCACCTTCCTTTTCCCTCTGCTTGACATCTCCTTCAGGTCACTCCACACCAGTACATAGAGATCTTCTTCCTCCTTTCCTTTAAAAAACAAGTGTGTAATTCTGCACTGTGTGGAAGTATCATAGTATTTTGAAGCAGCCCCCTATCAGTGGACTTTAGGGTTCAATGTTTTGCTGTTAAAAATAATGCTACATAAAAAAATGCTTATCATCCCTAATGATCAGTAAAATGCAAATCAGACCACCCTGATATATCATCTCCAGGAAGGTGAGCCCACAACACAAAGTCCCATAGCTGTAGATCAGTGGTTCTCAACCTTCCTAATGCTGCAGTGTATTTTCATTGTTAAAAAGGAGTTGCGACCCATAGGTTGACAACTGCTGCTGTAGATGTTGGCCTGGACAAGGAGAGAAGGGAACACTTCTGCACTGTTGGCGAGATCACAAACTAATACAGCTCCTATGGAAGGAATTATGGAGAATCCTCGAAGAGCTAAAAGTAGACCTTCCATTTGATCCTATAATCTCATTACTAGGTATCTACCCAGAATAAAAAAAATCATTTCACCTTGAAGCCACTTGCTCTAGAGTATTCATTGCAGCTCAGTTCATAATCACTAAGACATGGAATCAACCCAAGTGCCCATCAACACATGAATGGATTAATAAATTACTGTGGTATATGTATATCATGGAATACTGTTAAGCCATAAAAAGGTGAGGACTTTATATCTTTTGTATTTACCTAGATGGAGTTGAAGAACATTCTTCTTAGTAAAGATCACAAAAATGGAAAAGCAAGTATCCAATGTACTTAATACTGATATGAAATCAAAAGATAAACAACTACACACTCACATCAGAAAAAAAAACAATTAAATTCAAGTGAGGGGAGAGGATCAGTGAGCTCTACCTGATGGGCACAAAGTAAGGGTACCCAGCACACCTTCTGGGTGAAGGGCTCGACTACAACTTGAACTTTGCTTAACAAATGCAGACAGTATAACTCATCATTTGTACACATTAATCTGAAATTTAAGAAAAGATAAAAATGTAAACTTTATTTCTCAACCCCCCAAAATAATGCCATATAAAATGGCCATGTGTTTATAGCATTTTGTATTTTGCGAGTAGTATCTAAGTGTAGGTGACAGGTAAATGCATTTATGATTTTGCCATCCCCACACCTCTTTTTGGGGTTGTATGTCTGTATTTCCCCCTGCAATGTAGGAGAGTGCTTGTGTCACCACCATCTTAACAGTGTTGTTAAGCATTTGATTTTTCTAGTAGCACAGATGGGAAAGGGTATCTCATTGATGCTTTGGTTTTCTTTTGTTGTGAGTGAAACAGCCTATTTTCATTCATTTAATGCATTTTATTTTTTGGTGAGCCATCTATTGGCCCATTTTTAAATTAGATCATTGTTCTGTCTCTGCTTCTCCTCCATCTTCTCTTGGCTGTTTATACAAGAGTTGAATGCTTGAGTTGAATGCTGGGACCTAATGTGTGTCTCTGCTGTGCTCGCTAGCAGAATGTGCCTCAAGAGAATTTCAGTCCAGGATAGAGCCTATCTAAGTCTGCTCAGACTGTTGTAGCAGATTGCTGCAGCCTGGGTGGCCTGTAGACTGCAGGAATTTATTCCTCACAGTTCTGGAGGCTGGAAGTCCAAGATGGGTGTGCCAGCAGAGTCAGTTTCCTCTGAGGCCTGCTTCCTGCAGTGTCAGTGGCCTTCTTGCTGTGTCCTCCCATGGCAGAAGGGTCAGAACAGCTCTCTAGGGCTTCTTTTATCAGGTTTCTAACTTCCTCTAGTTCTACCTCATATGTAATCCATCACATGTGTTAGGGTTTCAAGACGTGCATATTGGGGGTACATGTGCACTATCTGTGGTAACCTCCAGTGAGTATCACAAAGCCTGGCCAGCACTCGGTTGTGTGCTGCAGCCTCAAATTTGATGGACCGTATTACCTTCTCAATTTAATATTTTTGTCCTGGTTAATGTTTGCCTTCAAAGCATCAGAATTTTAATGATCATTTAGTATTAACCCTCTTTTTTTTTTTATAAATGAGGAAACTACCTTTTTTTTTTGAGACAGAGCCTCACTCTCACCCTAGGGAGAGTGCCATAACGTCATATCTCACAGCAACCTCAAACTCCTGGGCTCAAGCAATTCTCTTGCCTCAGCTTCCCGAGTAGCTGGGATTACAGGTGCCTACCATAGTGCTTGCCTATTTTTAGACAATAGGGTCTTGCTCTTGCTCAGGCTGGTCTGGAATCCTGAGCTCAAGCAGTCCACCTGCTTCAGTCTCCTAGAGTGCTAGGATTATTGGCGTGAGCCACAGGACTCAGCCTTTTTGCATTCTTAGAGATTTTTAGGCAAATTTTATAGATAATCATTAAAATATGTTATTTTTCAGGTGAGAAGGTAAAGGGCCAGTTGGGAATATCTCTGAATAGGAAATAGGATTGCTGGGTGGTTTATTAATAAGGAAAGACTAGAATTTATTTACTTAGTGAGGGTCTCACTCTTGCTCAGGTTAGTCTCAAACCCCTGAGCTCAAGCAGTCCTCCCTAGCCGCCCAGAGTGCTGGGATTACAAGCATGAGCCACCACC